CGATGTCTTGGCTATCCCCTGAGTTCCACCGATCGCCGTGCAGCGCTAGTGTCACGCGCGACCCCAGCGCGGGGAGTTTGAAATTGGAGAACGGTCAAGCTTGGGTTTTTCTATCCGTAAAAGTATAGAAACCTAATATCATCCACTAAAAAGGAAGGGGATTGGTGGGGAACGCGTGAGAATAATTGCTTTGCCCGATCTTTCGCCGCATGCAGTCAGGGTGCAATCTTGTGATGTGGAACACTATACATAAGCGGACACTTTTTTTTTTAACTCAGTGAAAAAAAATGATTTAGTTTAAGTTCAATTAAAACTAAAATGAATTTGATATATTTTTCTGAAAAAAAAGTAAAAGTGGATTTTTTGAAAAAATTAGTGTATTGGAAAGTTATGCTTTGTTTTGGAAGGGTAGAAATTTTTTTTTAACTGGTTAATATAAGCTGATACAAAATCTTCACCTCTTGTTCGAAGACACAGATAAATTCACCATCTGATATGAGCATGCATTTTACATGTCTTGATCTTATAGTCACTTCCGTAATGACCAAATTTTAAATGCTCGAGAAGTATTCTTTCCTCACTGCGCAGATCATGGATATTCAACTTTAAAACTCAAAATGTTTCCTTTACTTTGTGTTTGTGTCTATACATGACCCCAACTCACATTTTGCTTAAGATTGTCTGAATGATTCAAATTACTTACAAAGGTCAAAGGTGCAACCAAAATATAAATTACTAAAAGTTGCTTTATTTTATATTTGTTTTCACTTTGGTTTGGGATAAGCAATCTTGTTTCTAATAGGTAGGCTAGTTATTTGCTTATTTGTTTTAAATTAAAACGCACTATAAATCAACCCAGGTATTTTTAATTGGTAGGAAAACAAGCCCTCAAAGATTGCGAGGAATGAGGAATACAATGTTCAACGCAAAGTATACACTTTATCATAACTTTATCTTCAGGTCATGTAGGAGGCTGAAATCTTTTCAAAAAAGATTAAGTGCCTGGTTTTCTTCATACAGCACTGAGTAATTTGATACACTTTACATTAACGTTGAAGTAAATACCAAAAAAGTGTGTCCTGGTGAGACAGCCAGGCCATGTCACCTATCCAGAGTGCAGAGCACAGCGCCCAAATAATAGGTCGACCAACGAAAAATACACACACCAGTTATTCCTTATGGTCTAGAGAAGACCACCGATTCAATTTTCAACCGCAGGTAGGACTATTTAAGGTGTAAATGTTAATATTCAGTTCGCTGTCGATCGGTAACAGACAGACAGATCAGGTTACTCCCGTCACAAAACATGCTCGGAGCGTCAAAATAGTACATCGACAGACCAAAACGTCACTTAACATTAAAATAAAACATTCACAGCGTCATCTTGCAATGGGTTTTAAATCGATATGAGTTATTCCAGAGGTGAAAATGTTAATCTCAAGTGGGTAATCGGCCAGCTGTGCCTACGCAACGACGTAAACAAGAGCAGAAGGCAAATGGCGGCGAAATCGTACATCCAGCGCTACGGGTGGCGGAAAGAGGAACTGAGGGGATAGCCGACACATCGACACACGAGAAAGGGTGATTTTTGAACGGGAATATATTTTAACTGTGAACGTTTTCGATCAATATTGAGTCTCGGTGTAGCTTCCCCATCCCTTGGGAGTACGCCGAACAAGTTGTTTTTGCGACCAGTACTCTCAATATTTTTAACCGCTCTGCTCAAAGGCACCGTGCTCCCGGGGGTGGCTCGCAGTACCCTCTCCTTTCCTCGTCCTCTCTTGCGCGGAGGGTGTGGCCTCCTCCCTCGTCCCGCCCGCCCCGCTGCGCCTTTTGCATTGGCGCCACGCTTTGCCGCGACGCCGCGCCGCGCCAGGAGTGCGGGTACTTGATTCCCTGCAATGGGCGCGACCGTGCCGCGCAGAACAGGCCCGCCCTCTCCCACGACGACCGGCGAGGCGAGCGATCAGCTCGAGGGTCAGGGGCGAGCACCGCGAGTACGGCAGACCGCGGCCGCAAACAAAGACTCCTGTCTCGGACGATCCACCTTCGTGTCCTGGCGGTGTAGCGCCGCGCCCGCGCCCCGACCTGCGCCGCGGTCGCCGTTGACACATCAGTGGCCCCCCGCGCCCCGCCCGCCCGCCGGCCCCGATGGCCCCGCGGGTGAGTCACAGCCTCATCATGCGCGTCGTTGAAGTGCAAGCGAGCAGCAGCCGATCGTAAACCGGCGAGCATGCACCGTGAGAGCGGCGAGTGCGGGCGCCGCGGGCGGGGGCGTGGCGCGGGGCCGGGCCGGGCTCGCGGGCTGGCGCCGCGGCGCCGCGCTCAACGCGGACGCACTTGCAGAGCGCTGACGAGCCGGCTCCCGCTCGTAGACCGCCCCACATTGACATTGAACAGATCGGTGCGGATTGGGGGGGGGGGGGTGCAAGAAGAGACAGGTCGGGACAGGACTGGCCGGGTGAGTCACAAGCGGCAGCGTGCAGCTGCTTTGTGATTCCTCCTTATCTTATCTCTTTTGTGCGGGAGTGCTGACGCCGCCGTCGCCGGGTGCGCGCCGGCCTCTGCACCGCGATGCTCTTACCTACATTACCTGTTCTGGCGCAATCACACCGGAGGAGACACTCGGGCTCGGGGTGGCGCGGCGCGGGAACCTCAACGCTGGATCACCCCTGTGGGGAAAAATAACCCCCCAAGAGATTCGCCATCGGACGATCGAGGGAGGGAGGGGACGAGGCGATGGAGGGGGGCAGGGGGCAAGGGAGAGAGGGGGCGATCGAGTACTTTATCGACACTTCTGTGGTACTTTCCGTTACAATATCGCGCCTGAAATTCATCCCTCAGGTTTTGGCAGGTGCTGAAAACGCCCAATACCGCAGGATTTGATTTTCCCGCCGGCCCACTCGCTCTCTCGCCCCTCGCCTCCCTCGCCTCGCCTTACCACAGCCCGTCCAGAGGATCTCTCTAGTCTTCCCAGCGAAAGAATAGTGAAGTGCGAAAGGCGGATTCCGTGGCTCTTTTCCCCCACTACTCAGTTCTCACCAATCAGTCCACAGGAAACTGAGTAGTGGGGGAAA